GTTAGTTCGAATTAGCTTAGTTCGAATTAACTAATTCGAACTAAGTTAGTTCGAATTAGCGCTGTAGTGTAGACATACCCTACAAGAACTATTTACAGACAAATGTGAGAACGGGAACTATTAGAGACGCTCCAACGACTGTCACGGCGGTAAGAAGGAACTGAGATGGGGCAGCGCCGGTAGGGGTATTTATGCCCCGCCATGGCAGCGCCACTCCAGGGGTCGCCCTGCCGGCGCTATGGGTACAGCTAGGGAAGACGCTCCAGAAGACGCGGTGCACGCGGTGCGCACACCTACTTCGAATGGACATGAGCAACCACTCGAAGAAGAAAGTAGCTTATTACTAAGTAAAGATTATAGACAATGTTTTATGTTTTTCTTTTACCTTTAAGGAAATGTTACCTTGTGCAGTAACAGACCATGTCTTGAAGAATTTAATAGTGGCACTCCTATTCAGTTGCACACCCAACTGAGGAAGGGCTGCAGCCACTCCACCCTTTATGCCCTTTATAGAGCACATGCACAGCCCTGACAGATATTACTATTAAAAAAAATTGATCTTGTGCATGTGATGCATGCATACCTACAGCAAGAGCCACACTAATAAGCATTCAAAGAAGAATCATGTTTCCCAGAGCCACACACAACTTTGTACCTTCTTCTATGCTGTGCCCTACACTGTTCTCTACATAATTGTGCTGGCTCCTCATTCTACTGAAAAGCAAATTCCTCCTAAACAAGTATTTCTGTGAGGCTCCAAACATTAGCCAATGTTAGGTAATAAACAGGCCTGCCGACAGGGCAGGCAAAGGGGACAGCTGTACCACGGATCAGCAATTAAAAAGGGCCCAGGGTTCCTGGCCACTATTACACTGGCAACAGCAGCAACTGGAGCCTTAGGCCCTTTAAATTGCTGTCAGAGCCATGGGTGGCATGTGCTGGACAGCACTGAAGGGCTGGCTGGGGGAGGCTACCCATATGCCTTCTCCTTCCGCCTGAGGCCCTGCCTCATCTGGGGGCCCAGCGCCACCCCCGCAACTTGCCCAGGGCGCAGCAAAATCCGTTGGCTGTTCTGGTAATAAATAATGAAATGGGAAAAAAACTACAATAAGCCAGGACCTTCCTTTGGGTCTCCCAGTGCATTTTGCCTTACCAATCTTTTTAGACTGTAATACCTTTGGGGTAGGTAGTGTCTGTCCTATGTGTTTATAGCACTAAGCACATTCTTTTTTTTCTTTTAAGTCTATAACATTCATGAAAAACAGCAATACATTTTAGTTCTTAGAATTAAAAAAATGCTAACCATTATTGCCATGAGGTTAATAAAGGGAGAAAAAGTTATTTTTTTCAGATACCTTATTAGATTATTGCAACCCGAAACAAAATGGACCGAATACTACAGACTAATAGGCAGATGATAAATATGTCTGAGTAGGAGATTAATTCAATTTTACACTTTTGGGTAATAACATAAAGTTGTTTGCTTACCGAAGGTCTTGAAACTGTGTCTCTTGAAAACTGTCTCTCCAATGCATGAATCTTTTCCTGGAAATATCGATTTTTTAAATGTAACTCTTCTACAACAGAATCTCGTGGGAGAGCTTGTTGTGTTCTGTATCAAAAATAAATGAATGCAGGAAAGCATCTTTTAATGTAAAACAAGTATGAACTTCTGGTTTCCTGGATTGAATATTTTTAGTTTTTTTGTTAGATAAATGTAATTATACTCAATCAATTTTATTTATATAAACTGAATTAAATAAACCTAATGATCTAGGAAGTCTGAATTTGGCATAGTATTTAGCCTTAAGAAACTCTAAAAGTCTATTTTCTCAACATTTATGTGAAATTTCCATTACCATTGATGACGAGTTATGCATCCATACTGAAAAAAGAACACATTTCCAAAATATTAAATTAAAAATTCTGGAGATAATGTGTTATAGTTGAACTAATGACCTGAGTTTTCACTTCTGTGCACAGGGAACCAGTTTCCATTTGTGTGAATTTATTCCTCGAACAATTTATTTAAGGGGAAAAATTACAAGTTTGCTCGGTTTTCCAAAAGGGGTCTCTCCTTTTGAACAACTCTTACCTCATATGAGCAATTTCATTTTCTAACTCTGTATTCCGTTTTCTTAGTTCCTCCAGCTCCCTCTCTGACTCTGATGCTTGTACTCCCACAACATGATCAACAGTAATACCGCTGGTCTTCAGTTTCTTTTGTAAAACAATTTTCTCTTTATCAGCTCTGAAATAGTCAATTTGTTTTTACTAAAATCTTGGTACATTTGTTTGCCAATTTGCCCCATTTAAAAGTGAACAGCACTTTGATCTAAAGATTCCAGACCTTCAATCCAATTGCACATTTAACTTTCCTTGATTTAAATTATTTTATGAATAGACATTTTCTAGTTATTCATAAAAGATTTTCTGGTTTCTCATAAAATAATACTGGATGAATGCTGTACATTTAATAAATCATTTGCAGGTTCCGCTTAAGTATTCATTTGTATTTTACATTTATGTAATCCCTTACAAAAACAGAGAGGCCCAGTGTAACACAGCTACAGGATGAACCTCCCTGGTCCAGCACCCTCGGGATCTGACCAACCCTAGACAAGGGAGTTTTCTTGACCAGGGGAGGTCTAGGGGAGAGAGGAGTAGGGCACAAACCTCCTTGCTGGGCTCTCTCCTCAGCCACCAGGGCTCCTCTCCCCAGCCTCCCAGCCCTGCAAGCTACAGCAGCTCTGCCTGGAGCTCCTGGTCTCACAAGCTGCGGCAGCTTTGCTGGAACTCCTAACCCCACAAGCTGCACTGGAGTTCCCGGCGGCCCTTCTAGCCTCACAGCAGCCCTGCTGGAGCTCCTGCTGGCCCCACCGACCTCACAGCAGCAGCAGCACTTTGCTGGAGCTCCCACCCCGCTGGAGCCTCCAGAGGACCCACTGCCCCACCGGAGCAGCCTGCGGCCCCACTGGCTCTGCCCCCCTCCACCAGCCTCCTTGCCCCACTGGCTGCAGGCCCTGTTGTCCCACAGGTTCCGCTGCCCCACTGGTTGGGCCGGCCAGCTCCACTCTGAAATGCTAGCAACCTCTGCTGCTCAGGCCTTCCGGTCCTGCAACATCTGTGATCCTTCCAGACAAAGGATGTTGCTGGATGAGAGAGTCCCAGACCACAGAGGTTCAACCTGTCGTGAAAAGAACTTACAAATATATATAATTCTTGTTATTCTTGTGTTACTTTTCATCTCTGAAATTCTGGGTTAGGGGAAAAAAATGCTATGTTTGCATTGAAAACATGGTTAAATGAAAACAGCTTTTCTGGAGGCTTGGTTACCACAATGTTGCAGGTGTCACAATATTGTAGAATTAGTACAGCTGCTAAACAGTGAAACTAAATAGTGGTTCAAACAAACAAACAAACAAACAAAACAAAACCCTGTCCTCACCAGCAGCTGGTGCTTCTTTGATATGATAGTATACACAAATTATCAATGGAGAAATTATTTTTGCTCAAAGATTTTCTAATTAATAAAATACTGACTGCTCCTACAGAAAACAAGGCACTACAATAGCAAAAACATAAAGGAAACTTGCTGCTTGAAAATAAGATACCCCTTTGTAGTCTCAACAGGAATGTCAAATTATAAGAATCTATTTTGTTAAGATAAGAAAAATGTTACAATCTTTTTACAGCAACAAACCAGGGTTGTTTTATTTTACACCATCAGTTTAGAACTATATCTAATTAAAATCAACTCACTTGGAATAAAGTTCCTTTAATGTATTGAACTGTTTTGTTAAAGCATCCATTTCCTTCTCCTTTTCTTTTAGTTTATTCCGCATTCCTTCCATTCTGGTTTGCCATTTTTTACCCTCTTCCCACCTAACTATTTCCTCTTTAGAGCTCTGTAAAATGTTCAAAAACAAAGTAACATTTACTGTTGGTCTAGTAAATTTAATCCGTAGTGCAAGTTAGAGTAGCACTTCGGATTAAAAGTTTCCATTTCAAAATTTTAAACAAAAGCAGATGTTTAAATACAGCAATAAACTAAAATGATACTAGGTAATTAGGGCCACACATTGGCTATTATGAAACCTGATGCACAATCTGGTACATCTGAATACTGCTAGCAAACAGTTCTGTTAAATTCAGAAATTGCTTTGTAAAAAGTACTGAAACATTTTTATAAAATCCAGTGTTAAGAATGCTTATACAATATATTCTCCACTTTGAAATGTAGGTCACTAACACAAGATAGGAGAAACAATTATGATGCTATTCTATGCTAATTTTAATAAATACAGCAGACTTCTCTTTCCTCCTCCAAATCACCAGGAGCTCAGATGCCCCTGCAAATCACACTTGCTGGTCCAAGAGTGACAAAAAACTCACTTTCTATCATAGAAAATGAATTTTTATTTACTAGTCCCAATTCAGTTTTATAACAGAAAACAAGATAAGACTTATGACAAAAAAGGTTACTGAAAAAGCTAAATTAATGTTATTTTTATAGGTGGAGATAAAGTTTTTTGTCCCGGAGTCTCACCTCCCTTATTTGCCCCATCTCTTTTCTTTTCCACATCACGCGCATGTATGTGTGAGTGTGTATGTGTGTGTGAGAGAGAAAGAGACTGAGGGTGAGAGAAGATTATCTTCCCTAGCATTTAGTAGGATTTAGTATTTCATTTGGATCAGAAGGTCCCAATTGTGCAATGCTGTGTGTTGATGGATAGCTGTCCTACCACAAAAAAGATTGTATAGATTATTTCAAAATAGCTTATTTCAAAATTGGGAGCATCTACACAGCACTTACTTTGAAATAGAGCACTCTTCCTCTGACTTCCCTTAATCCTCGTACAATGAGGGTTACAGGAGTTGGAGTAGGAAGTTCTCCAGCTTGACAGCATTTTGACACTATTTCGAAATAACTGCCTGCTGTGTAGACGCAGACTAAGTTATTTTGAAATACTGCTAGTTATTTTGAAATAATTTTGCTGTGTAGATGTACCCTAAATGATTAGCTGGGGCATGTCTTTTGACAATCAGGGCACTTGACTTAGTGAATTAGATTCATAAAGGAAAACAAGATTCTAAGACTTTACCTGTGGCAGGAGTGTAAGTCTTTAGTAAAAAAAAAGATTATTTAACAAGGGAATAAGTACTCTCCTACCATAAATCCCATACCAATGGAAAAACAAAAATTATGACCAGCGTTGTAATCCTGCAGAAACCTGTGAACATGCTGTACATATGTCATTGCAAAATTGGACAGTAAGACTGAATAAAAAAACTGATATTGAATAATATCAAACAACATAATAGGTCTTGAAATGTTAGCTTTAATTTGCCTTAGTTTGGATCAACCACATCAATCACTTGTTGGAAATTTATTCTTCCACTGATGAATATTGCTCTCACTACAAATGTGTAAGTAATTTCACGAAATAATATATAAAAACTAAAAATGTCTTACAATTATTTCTCTTTTGCTGGCCTCATGGTAAGAGCTCAAAATGATTTTATACCCAAGACTCAGTCTACAGAATCAATATATAACATACATGAATGTCTGCTCTGCTTAGACATACCCTTACTCCTTAAGAAACTTGGACTGAAGTCAATAAGCCACCATATGGATACAAAAAACTATATATAGACAGCCTCACTGAATTCAATGGGATTTCATTTGACGATAAGAATCTACATGCATGGATTTAGTTGTAGGACTAGGATCTAGGTGTATTTGGTATTTTTAATTGCATTCACACAAATGTAGAACATTTACAAGCACATTCATGTTATGAAACATAAATAAAATACATTTTATACATACACATCCATAGTACAAGACAAAAATACATCTCAAAAACTAATAATTGATATACAGTGCCTCAACTTACCTAATGGGAGGTATAAGCTCTCGCTTACAAGCATCTTGAATATTTACAAAGCCACTGAATGCAGTTTGAGAACAATAATGTATTCTGCTCTCGTCTACCTTATTAGGTACCAACACAAGTCACTATCTGCTACCATAACAGCAGAAAACAAACAAGAGACTGAACAAATACATCCCTACTCAGTCAGAATCGATCACATGCAGAGAGATCCATTAGGAAATGTATCTTTTGAAAGAAACCCCACATTTTTGTCTCAAAATGTTTTAAATTGCTATAGATACAAATAACATCTTAGATAGCTACCACTGAAACAAATGAAGTTTTCAGTTTCTTTACTCTATGACTTTATGAACTGAGTTGACAGAACTTTGTATGTAGCCTGACACGGTTAGCTTGCACAGTTGAGTCAGTTTCCCACTTTTTTGTATGAATTTTGTACTCAGCAAAAAGGGAAACATTAATACAATATAGAAATATGTGGTAACATTAGAAACATTGCTAAGAGGACTGAGGAGCAGGTTATATTTCTGAAGACATTTCTGATTTGTTGTTTTTCTTAAGCTGGGTGGATTTCAAGTTAATGGTGTCCCTTTCAATATCACAAACTAAATAATGCTGTATGACATACCTTGTCTTCTTTTACACTCTTCTTTTCTACCTCCTCACTCTTCTTTTCAACCTCAATTTCAAGCTTTTTAATCTTTTTCTGAAGTTCATCTATGAATTTTTGTTCATCAGCTTTACTCTGAAAAAAATATGATTATCTTTACTGCTTAATTATCACAAATTTTTAAGATACTTTTCAATATTTTGTCCTCTGGGATAAACCTAAAGCTCAATATTAACTGATTTAATCCTCTCAACATAGGTGCTTTGAAAAAATATTAAATTTAGATTGTGAAGTGCCTCTTTAAAGATTACTACTACTATTTGAGTGTTTGATTGTTACTTTATATTCTGCATGAGTAATGGGCAGCATGCAGTTGGACACAAAAAGAATGCCTATACGATTATTTTTTTTAATTGAATCAGCATTAGGCATTAAATTGCTGTAAATTACTATGCCTCTTGCAAACCACATAAATTCACACAACCTTACTGAAAGGACACTTAAATTCTCAGGTATGGATTTGAAATCTCCATTGGCATATTTAGAAATGAAAATAATATGAAAATTTAGAAAATACAGGTACATAGACCTTGTGTATACTTACCTGCACCGTCAATCTACTTCAGCTACATAAAAGCCTAGTCTACACTAGACCAGGCAGGTTGGTTTAAGGTACACAACTCCAGTTACGCAAAATACGTAGCTTGAATTGGCTTACCTTAAGCTGAGATGTGGCGGCGTCCACACAGCAGGAGGCCAACAGGAGTACATGTTCTTGTTGGCTTCCCTTATCCTTACAGAACAAGGAGTGCTGGATGCTGGCAAGAGCTGGTCTTAACATTTGTTCTATGGGTCTACATTAGACCCACTAAATGGAATGCTACAAGATTGACCTCCAGAGAATCAATCTTCTTACTAGTATAGACATGCCCATAAAGTATAGCTGAAGCCGATATACACACTGCAGCATTTTGTGTGTGCTTAAGTTGGAGACTTCTCTCCTGTTGATGCTGGTTACTCTTCTTGTCTTGGTGGAGTACCAGTGTCAAGAAGAGGTTACTTACCTCGTAACTGTAGTTCTTCAAGATGTGTTGCTCATGTCCATTCTGATTAGGTGTACGCGCGCCACGTGCACGGATTCCGGAGCTTTTTTCCCTTAGCAGTATCCATAGGGCCAGCAGGGAGCCCCCTGGAGTGGCGCCGGTATACCGGTGCATAAGGTGGGTGGGATGCAGAATGGACATGAGCAACACATCTCGAAGAACAACAGTTACGAGGTAAGTAACCTCTTCTTCGAGTGCTTGCTCATGTCCATTCTGATTAGGTGAGTCCCTAGCCGTGTCCCCCCCTCCGGAGGCGGGGTCGGAAGGTGACTAATTACTCTCTTATTATTATTCTGCAGAGCCCAGAACTGCCCTCCCGACGGCAGCATCCTCCCTGGCCAGTTGTGTGATTGCATAATGCTCTGCAAAGGTGTGCACCGATGACCAGGTTGCTGCTCTGCAGATTTCCAAGATTGGCACGCAGGCCAGGAACGCCGCCAACGTTGCCTGGGCTCTAGTGGAATGTGCTGTTATGCTCAGCGGTGATCTACCCGCGCCCTCGTAGCACAGTAGAATGCAGGAAGTAATCCACGAGGATATGCGCTGCGCCGAGACTGGCTGCCCACACATCCTTTCCGCCACTGAAATAAACAATTGAGTTGACTTA